TGAGTTCTTGGTCATGTCATTTGGGCTAACCAACGCCTTGGCAGTCTTTATGGATCTGATGAACAGAGTCTTCAGAGAGTTCTTGGATCAATTTGTTATCGTGTTCATCGATGACATCTTAGTCTACTCAAAAAACAGAGAAGAATATGCTCACTATCTTGCCCAAGTTTTGCAGGTCCTCAGAAATAAGAAGTTATATGCAAAGTTGAGTAAGTGTGGATTCTGGCTTGAGCAGACCGCCTTCCTAGGACACATCATATCGAAGGAAGGGGTATCAGTCAATCTCGAAAAGGTTGAAGCGGTACTTGGCTGGGAGAAGCTGACATCAGTTAAGGAAATCCGTAGCTTCCTGGGAATGGCAGGTTATTACCGCAGGTTCGTTGAAGGATTTTCCAGTCTAGCAGCTCATCTAACCCGACTCACAAAGTAGAATGCCAAGTTTGAGTGGAATGAGGACTGCGAAAGAAGTTTTTCAGAATTAAAGAAGCGGCTGACCACTGCACCCGTGCTGGCTTTACCGAGTGGATCGGAGGGATATACAGTTTATAGTGATGCCTCCTATCTGGGCCTGGGTTGTGTCCTAATGCAGCATGGAAAGGTTATAGCATACAGGTCCAGACAGTTAAAGAATCATGAGAAGAACTATCCCACCCATGACTTAGAGCTTGCCGCAATCATTCACGCCTTGAAAACCTGGCGCCATTATTTGTACGGAGAGACCTTTCAGATCTATACCGATCATAAGAGTTTGAAACACATATTTACTCAGAAGGATCTCAACATGCGTCAGAGAAGGTGGATGGAACTCCTTAAGGACTATGATTATGATATCTTATACCATCCGAGTAAGGGCAACGTGGTAGCAGATGCTCTCAGCAGGAAAAGTGCAGGTATCTTAGCCCATTTGATGGTTTCAGAATGCAGACCAATTGGGGCCACGCAACAGGTTTGACTTCATGATCTGAAGAGAGTCACATGTTTGGGCCGCCTGATAGTCCAGCCCGAGTTAATCCAGAGAATAAGGGAAGCCCAAACAGTTGACCCCGCCCTGGTAGCCCGTAAGAAGGATGCAGAACAGGGAGGGATCTCAGAATTTCGAATCTCTGCCAATGGATCACTTCGTTTCCAAGACAGGATGTGTGTCCCAGATCACAGTGAGTTAAAAAGAGATATTATGACGGAGTTCCATAGCTCGAAGTTTGCCATGCATCCAGGAAGCACCAAAATATACCAAAGCATGCGACCCCAGTTTTGGTGGCATGGGATGAAGAGAGACATAGCCGACTTTGTATCTAAATGGTTGGTATGTCAGCAGGTCAAGGCAGAGCATCAGCGCCCAGGTGGGTTACTTCAGCATTTACCGATCCCGGAGTAGAAGTGGGAACATATCACCATGGACTTCGTATCGGGGCTACCCAAAGCACGTTCAGGACATGATGCCATATGGGTAATCGTTGACCGACTTACCAAGTCTTCCCACTTCCTAGCCATCAGGATGACCGATTCATTGGACAAGTTGGCAAGGATGTATATCCGGGAGATAGTCAGATTACATGGGGTTCCAGTAACAGTAGTATCCAACAGGGATCCCAGATTCACTTCTCGATTTTGGAATAGCTTCCAGCAAGCTATGGGAACAAATATGTCTCTTAGTACTGTCTTCCATCCCCAGACTGATGGAAAATCAGAGAGGACAATTCGTACGCTTGAGGATATGCTCCGAGCTTGTGTCCTGGACTCTGGGGGCCATTGGGACGACCATCTACCCCTGATAGAGTTTGCCTACAACAACAGCTACGAAGCTAGCATCGGCATGGCTCCATATGAGGCGTTATATGGGCGCCCGTGCATATCACCTATTTATTGGGAGGAAGTGGGCGATAGAGGATTGTTCGGCCCGGAGTTGATAGAGGAGACCACGTCCAAAATAGTTAAAATCAGGAAGAACATTCAGACAGCTTAGAGTAGGAAGAAGAGTTATGCAGATACCCGGAGGAGAGACTTAGGGTTTGAGAAAGGCGACCGGGTGTTTCTTAAGGTCACTCATTTCAAGGGAATTAGTAGGTTCGGTAGGAGGGGAAAATTAAAGTCCCGATGTATTGGACCCTTTGAAATCTTAGACAGGATTGGTAATGTTGCCTACAGACTAACACTGCCTCCAAAGCTCTCCAGAGTCCACAACGTGTTTCACGTATCCATGCTACGTAAGTATAACCCGGACCCTTCTCATGTCTTGGCTCATGAACCGCTTCCACTCCAAGAGGACTTGTCTTATGAAGAAGTACCAGTCGGTATCACGGACCGAAAGAGCAGAATACTCCACAACCGGAAAATATCTTTTGTAAAGATCGTGTGGCAGAACCACACGCCCAGGGAGGCTACCTGGGAGCTAGAATCAGAATTTAGAGCCCAGTATCCCCATTTGTTCGTCCAAGAGTAAGAGGCAAATTTGGAGGACCAAATTTCTTTAAGGGGGGGAGAGTTGTAACACCCAAGTGTTTTTTTCTTATTTTATCTTATTATTTTTATTTTTATTTATTTAAATTTTTTAGATTTTTATTTAATTTAATTTAATGAAAATAAAAATAATAATAATGATAAAATTTGGTAAAAATATTATTTGTATTTAATTGAAATTGATTTTGGGAAAAATGGATGAAAATTTGGATTCTGGGAGTGTTTTTGAGAAGAAAATAAAAAATCGGGGGTCAAAACGTAATTTAAAAAAGTTGTACCACGTCAGCAACCACGTTAGCAGCCACGTCAGTGGCCCGGTCAGCAGCCCCGGCCAACCAGGCCACGCCGCGTGGCAAGGAAACGCTGACACGGGATGGGCCACGTGGGCGATCCGCGTGCGCACGATTGGACGGCGCAGATCCGTTCCCGTGCACACTGACGACTCAGATCAAACGTATGCACAGACGGCCCAAATTTAATCACGCACGGACGGCCCAGATTGCATCGCGATGGACGGTCCAAATTTAATCCCAATTAAATCGGATCGGACGGTCCAGATTTAATCTTGATGGACGGTTGAGATTAAAAGGCAAATGATATAAATAACCCCACCCACACCTGACCACAAAACCCTAGCCGCCAGTGCCTCGCCGGAGAAGAAGAACCAGACGCTGGAGGAGCCAGCCGCCACTACCCACCGCCAAACCGGAGAAGTTTTTGACCGCCGATCGAGGTAAATTTTCTCCTTATGGCTCGTTTTTCGATGTTGAGTCCGCCTATAGCCAAACCACTAGCCAAACGGTCAGAAAACCCAGCCGAAGTCCAGCGTCGCTGCCGCGACCCCCTTCTGTTTTTGCCTCCGATGAGGCCCCTCCCGGCCTCCGTTTGATGCAAACTTTATACCACTGTGATCACTGTTCTTTTCTCTACAGGTTGATCGGAGCCAAACATCAAAACGCGACTCACACCAGAGCCGCACTCGAGAGCACCGCCGCTGGTAAGTTTCAGTTTTTCGTGAGTTTTTGGCCCACCGAGGGTCCTAGAGTTGTTTTATTGCAGGGAACAATGCAAGTTTGGCCGAATTCGACCGAAAACGGCCAACCCGAGGTGGATCACCATCGCAGACGGCGACGCCGTGGCCGGAGCACGGCGGAGCCGTTGTGCCGGAATTCCGATATTCGCCGAAAGGGGCCCTAGGTCTGATTTGGGATTTTTGGGACATGTGCAGGTACCGGTAGTGCGTTTTAATTTTTCGAAAAAAATTCAGAGAAATTAGGAACAGCCTGTAGGCGCACTATAGAGCCGAATTCAGACCCCGAAGCAAGTAAGGACCCCTCACCCTATTTCCTATTACGGTATTAAAGCTAAATAAATAATTAAAATGTACTGTGTGACTTTATAGATGTATAATTGATTAAGGTTGCTAGTGGAGCCCGAGTCTGATACAGTGTCGATCTGTTATTGTTTGATCTAATTTTCAGTATTAAATGTAGCATGATGTTTGATATAATTATGTTATGGTCTCGTATGCATGAATCATGGTTTCTTTTATTATGGTTTGTATTATGGTAAACCCGATACTGTGTTGTCTTGTTTGGTGTCAATTACTGGTTTACATATTGTGTATGATTGGATGATTGAGATCAAGAAAAAAGGCAAGTTCGATAATGTGGACAGTCTGACTAGATATCCTGGGAGATGGTGGACGGACCGAGTCCGTAGGGAACCCTACCGGGAACGTATTCTCTCATACCGCACGGGGTATGGAGACCTTATGTGTTTTGGCGCCCATACCGGACAGGGTATGGGGATGACCTATTTCACCCTCATACCGGACGGGGTATTGAGGTTCATAGTTTTGGTGCCCAACAATTTTATTTTGTTTGACAAATTAATAAAACTTTATATTAATTATGTTTCAAAAGATTTCTATTAATTAGAGACTAGATATTCAATTGTTCAATATAAGAACCAAGTATTATAGAATAACTATTTAATTAAAAAAATATAAAAAGTTAATTACAAATAATTGTGTGCGTTTTTAAGAAATTATACTGATTAATACTCTGTAATTATTCTATGGAGCCATGGCATATGCAGAATAATATAGCCAAAAAATACATTTTAATGCAAAAAGTATACACAATAGCATGTATATTATTTTTATGTGGCACTCAGGGATGAGAAACAGTCTGTAGCAAAACCTTGTTGAGAGGTTGCCAGCAACGTCTATCCCACATCTCTTAGAGAATAGTAATTAGAACGGTTTATATATTCTTTGCCCCTTCGCAGGGCGTCCTATCAAATTGGAACGATGCAGAGAAGATTGGTACGTTTCCTGCGCAAAAATGACATGTACGAGAAATGGTCTAAATTTTTTCATTTCCTGTCCAACTTTCTCATTTATTTATAAAATTTCTCGTTAAAAATATTATGAGAGTGAAGAAAAACCTCCAAAATTTTGGCGGGAAAATTAGGAAAGAGCCAAAGGCTTATACCAGTTCAGTCTCTTTCTCGTATCCTTTTAGCTCTGGAAATTCTCCATGGATTCCGATTCAGACTCTGATGGTTCTCACGTCTCCGCCACTCCTCCGAGACAATCAAATCTTCTTCCTCCTCCTCCAACGCCACTGCCATTACCCATAACGTCATCTCCTCACCCCGCTCCAAAACCCCTTAACCCGCCCCCAATTCCTTCTGCTCTGCCCTCATCCCTGCCTTTCCAGATCCGCCGCCCCTCTGATCAGTCCCGTCTCGTCCCTACCGGCGATTCCCTCCAAACCCTTCCCCCCGGCTTTTTCTCCAAGGTCCCTTCCTTCTCCAAACTTCGCAAACACTCTCTCACTTTCGAAAACGACGCCCCGCTACCGCTGCCCCGACCCGAAATCGTTATCGACCGCTCGGAACCCCGTCCGGTTCGCCCAAACCCGCTCAAAGTCCGCCGGAGGCAGCACCCTAATTTGATCGGCAGCAGCTTGGCTGACCCGCCTGTCAAAATTCGAAACTGCTCCGGCGCAAGTGAAGGTAATTTCGTGAAGCTTCAACTGAATGGGAAAAGACGGGGCAAGTATCCTAGCAAGTGCAAAGGCAGAACCAAAAGCCAAAACAATTATGCCTACAGAAAAACGAGGAGCAAGAGAAAAGCAAAAGCCGAGAGCGGAATTGAGACGGAGAGCATTTGTGGCGAAGATGGGTTTGCTGGAGAAATCCCGCAACCGAAGAAGAAGAGGGAAGAGCGAAGCGTTCGTCTGTTGCAGGAGGCAGTCTCGGCGGCGCGAGACGAGCCGTCCGATGATAATCTGGTGAGGTTGCTGAACGTAGTGTACGGTCATCATTCGTTTCGCGGCGGGCAGATGGAGGCGATCAAGATGGTTCTCTCGGGGAGATCGACGGTGCTGGTTTTACCCACGGGTGCGGGGAAGTCGCTGTGCTATCAGATTCCAGCCATGATTTTGCCGGGGATCACGCTGGTTGTCAGCCCTCTGTTGGCGTTAATGATCGACCAGTTGAAGCAGCTCCCTGCTGTGATTCCTGGCGGCCTTTTGAGCAGCAGCCAGGTAGAGGATTGATGATGCCCTCTTTCGTGGTTTATCCCAGCTTATTATTGATAATAATTTAAACAAGTTTAATTATTAACATCAAACATGAAATGTGTAGTTACAAATAAAGTATATTTTAAGATTATGAACCATACCCCATGAGCTTAAAATCCGAGAATCGATGAATGCTTTGACGAAAAGCAAGGATAGAACTGAAAGATGAATCCTATTAAAGGCTTCTGACAAAAGATATAAGCCCAATAAAAGTTTCTATAAAAAGATATTCTTTAAATTTTCCATCAGATTTTGAGCCATACAAGCAAGTATAAAATACTTAGGAAGCCACCATGGGAGTGAATTATATGCCTTGACAAAAAAGTCAGCTCACTGGAAAGGAAAAGAGCCGAATAAGATTGTTTATGGAGTGTAAAACATATGGTTCCTCAAATTTTTCTTTCTTTTCTTTTTTCAGATAATAAGCCATACAATGCAAGTGTAGAATCAATACAAACTAATATCGAAGCCAAATCTGTTATTTGACCAAAAAGTAGAACGTGAAAATGAATTCTAAAAATAAAAGGCATAAAAGCATTTATCACTTGAGAGCATCCAAAACCACAAATCATAAAAGGGAGAAATCACGGATTAGAAGCAGAAAAAAACTTTAAAAGAACGCAGGCTCTATGGAGTAAACACAATCCTCCAATGCCTCTTGATTCCTAATATTAACCTGATGATAAGAATAAAAAAAAAAATAATAATTAAAGACAAAAGAAACTTCGCAATTATAACACCAACACAAGGTGGTGTTTCTTAAAAATAATTGGAATCGACAAAAAAAATATATCAATTGCCAATAAACCAAACAGCCATCATTAACATAAAAATATCAGGGTCACATACCGACACCAAAACAAAATGAATGAATTTCACATTATTGTGCAATTACACTTTGATTCCAGTTTTGGAGGTTTTATACTGTCTGGCTTACAAGTAAGTCCAACATTTCGTACTGCTGATGCATCGATATTTTCATCATTCTCAGTCTTGCTAGGACATGGCTCTGCATCTGTTTCTACATACCAGGGCCTGGACTTTAGTGATTTTGAGGAGCCTTTAGCTGCAGTTCTACCAGGTTGGTCCTTTCTGTCCGTATTGGATTTACCTAATATAGTGACGGTTGGCCAAGAACCTTCCAGTGGTATTGTATCAGTTGTTTCTTCAAGTGTCGGGCTACTTCCCTTGCTTCCTCCCCGACATTCTACTAATACCGTTGATTCGTCAAATACATACCAATTTGTCAGATAACAAAGCTTAAATCCTACTACTATAGTTTTAGAGCTAAGTTCTGGCACATATTTGATACAAGCATGAAATAAACAATTGTCTATTGTGAGGATACAGTGAGGCCGCAAATTGTTGGTTTCATTTCAGCAACCAGACAAATGCTGATATGCATGGGAACTACGAGTCCAACAATTAAACAAACAAACAATAAATAGATACCCGTCTAATAATGCTCTAATTGGCTTCACCTAAGAAGATACAAAGACAGATGTACTCACAATTGCTAAAAGAAAACAAAGATGGAGTACCATCCAAAATTATGCACATTTGGGACATCCACATGCCGCCCATTAGCACCATCCCACCTTTGAACAGACCTCTGCAAGATTCACAAACCAAGACCACTACTTAAAACACACAATTGAATAAAGAACATTTATGATATTTGCAAAGTAAGGCAAAGTAATTGTCCAGCTAGCACTTTAATGCTGGTCTATCTGAAAGAAGCAAGTAAATCCATGACATCAAATAAAGTTACATTGAGGATTTAATATTGCCATGTGATTACTTTGGAACTAGAGATTGAAACATTTGAAATATTATGAATATGGGGTAATCAACTTAGCATGTTGACTTCCTATGACTATAAAGTAGGTTACACTGACAGGTCCATGAAAATGGATAACCAAATTCATGATGAACAAGCAAAGTTTACCTCAAATATCATGAGCATTATCTGCGGCATTGAGATCCTGAACAGAAGTAGCCATGTCCTTGCCTTCGGTGGTAGGAACTGAAGGCTCCTCAACTTCATTAATATTGTTATTCAGCTCCAGAGATTCATCATCCTCAATGAACCAGGATTCTCCAGATAGCAGTTCTCTGTTTCTATTTCCGATATAGTCAAAGAGCTGATACACAGGGACCTCCCTGATTTCTACTCCCATCAAGACTAGAGTTGGGCATGGCGTGTTCTTCAAGAGAAGACTCTGCAGTGATAGTTGTTGCCCAAAAGCAGAGCTTGCAGGGTTTGGGAAGTCTTCTACATTTTCATACGAATCACGATCTTCATAGTGCAGGAATGATGCAGCTGAATTGTCCTTTGATTGACTGCTAACCATATGGCTTGACAATTCAGAGGTGGAAGGATCAATTGACTTTGTAGTCTCATCACATTCAAAAATGTCTGCCTCAAGAGCCACAGCAGCCATACTTTGAACCTAGATGCATTTCTTCCACTTCATTGCATTTGGTAGCACCAACAGAAACCTCTACATTCTGGTCAGCTGTGCCTGTTGCACTTAACTGCCGTTGTACACGGCTCTCTGTCTGTCTAGCTGAGAAATCAATCAATGAAGATGCAGAAACAGTGCCATATCCAGTGGAGCTCCGCAATAAATGTCCTGCCCTGAACAATAACACCAAAAGATGTAATACATAATCCTAATTAAATAAATAATAATTCTTCTATCATTACTTCAAAAGATGTGGATTAATAACACCAGAGCAGAAGCGCCCCTAAACAAATTTGTATATACATGCAAAAACATGGTATGATCCAACAACTCTTTAATCACGCTGAAAATACATTTCCCAATTTGTTCGTGAGGATGAAAAATGCACATAATCATTCCTTAAACCATGGTGATCTAATACACACGATCAAGAGACAAATCTAGATTTCTTCTTCTCAAAAGGATTCATGAATCGAGAATTATTGTCTCTATTTATCAGAGGCTTCAAAATAATTAATTTCCGGATCATTTATAGTTGTCAAATTCACTGTATATATAGCCACATCAGCTTTTGGTGTTCTAATCAACCAATGCAATTGAAAGCATGTCAACGATCAACATAAGGCTTAGATAAGCAGTTGAATGAGCCACATAAAACAAGCGCATCAATCAATGGATAAATGTAATTAAGTTACAATCCACATGTTTCAAAAATTGCAACTCAAAGCATTGGATATTTGGAATACTCACATTATATATATATAACATACGAACACCTTAAATTCAAATTCTACTGGACTGGAACACAAAAGAAAAAGATAAAATATGAGATACTGAGCGGTAAGATACCATTTGGCGAAGAGAGGAGTAACAGGCTCTTTTTGGAGCGGAACTTGGAGTCAGCAATCTAGACGATTTCTTAGAAAATGCTGGAGCTCTATTATTGGGGAAAGCACCAAGTCTTTTCGAGACTGAGAAATCTGAGCCACGTACCGGGACAGAAGTTAGCGAGTCTATTTCATCAGCACCAGATGAAGCTATAGAACATTTACTTTGAGAGCTAAACCGATCTCGATTATGACTGAGATGAACTGATCACTTCGAGAAGCAGAAGGAGACATAAAATGCCTACTATATTTGCGGGAGGGACATTGGAGAAAAAGCTGGCGCGAAGGATTTGGAAGGAATCGCCGGTAGGGATGACGCGGGATTTTTCGGAGGGAAGGCAATGACGATGATAGAGCAGAAGGAATTGTAGTCGGGTTAAGGGGTTTTGGAGTGGCGTCAGGGGAGGACGTTATGGGTAATGGGAACGGTGTTGGAGAAGAAGGAAGAAGACCTGGAAGTGTCGGAGACGCGAGAGACTATCAGAATTAATGGAGGATTTTTCAGAGCGGATAACGGGAAAAAAAAAATTTGGACCATTTCTCGATTTATGCGTGTCATCCTTGCGCAGGGGCCATGCTAATCTTCTCTGTATCGTTCCAATTTTATCGGATGTCCCCGAAGGGACGAAAGTTTCTTTACAGGCTTCCATATATAAACCGTAAATCATTTGTTTACAAAGCGGTGTGGGATAGGGGCAGCGGCTCCCTGTTTACCCCTCTCGACAAAACTTTGCTTTTAACTTTTTCTGATTCCGAAGTGCCATATGAAATTAATATACCTGCTCTAGTGCATACTTTTTGCACTAAAATAGGTTTTTTGTTTACATATTCCATGGCTCCACAGCATAATTAACTTTATAAAATGTACAAAATTAGTTACAAAAATGAATTTCACAACCCAAGTATATGCTTTAGAATTCATTCAATCGATCGTAAACATATATATATATACATATATATATATATATTGTTTAAAGTAGCTTAAGTAACCAAGATGGGAGTAACAAATAAATCAATAAATAAAAACAAAAAAAAAAGTTGACCTAATAATTTTAACATCCTTTCATTTTAGCACTTAATTTCATGCCTACTAGCAATAATACACTGCGACATTCTCACATTATATTCGCCCTTGAGTTAATTTTAATTTATTTTCATTTACTTATTTATTTATTATTATTTTTCTTTATTTCTTCCTTTTATTTTATTCTCTGTCGGTATAAATTTAATTAGTATTTTTATTTCTTCATTTTTGCTAAAAACTTTTGTCATCCGTACATATTGTTTGGATAAAATCCAAAATGTTGTGTCAGTGTATATATTTACATGAATGTTGATAAACATACAAACCAAACAATGTGGGATGGTAAACCATTCAAGTGATGCAAATGATGCGGAACAGATGTAGTTTCTCTCTTAGATAGGCATGGAAGATTCAAATTCCTCCAATGGTAAACCGCTGGATAAGTTAAATTACTCCTTAGAATATGTTTATCCTATTACCAAGGGACGTGGGTAATTTACTTTGTTGCGAAATTAGATTGTTGAATATTGTTAATAATGTGGTGTAATAATTAACATTTTTACCTCTTATTTAAGTATTACAATTTTAAATCTTATTAAAAATAAAAAATTCGTTATTTTATTAGTGTATTATAAATAAACTACAATTAGTGTATAATGTTTAATTTAATAAAACCTTGATCTTAATTTATTGTTGTATTGATGATAGTACAATAATCGAATTATATTTCATCCCGACAAATATATCAGAAAAAATAATTTAAAATATATTTAAACAAAAAATATAAATCATTACGTATTTGTATAAAATATTTTATAACATATTCAGATAAAAAATATAAAGAATATTTTGTAAATAATATATTCTAATAAAAGATATAAAGAGTATTTTCTATCAGACTAAATTTTTTTATAATATATAAAGAATATTATTCAGTAGTTATTTATTTTTTTATTTTTTAAAAAGAAAACCCTGTAATAAGGTGTGGATTAAACCTATACCCATGTTCTGACCATTAATTTTAAACATGAAATATATGGGTTACAAATAAACGGTATTTGAAGATTATGAACCATACCCGCAAGCTTAAAATCCAAGAAATAAAACTGAAACATGAATCCCGTTAAACGCTTCTGACAAAAGACATAAATAAAGCTCAATAAAACTTTAGATTTTTCACCAGATTTTGACCCATACAAGCAAAGTGTAAAATAAAATATATAGGAAGCCACCGTGGGAGTGAATTTTATGCCTTGACAGAAAAGTCAATTTAGTAAAAACCCAAAAAAGATTGTTTATGAAGTAAAACATAAGATTCCTCAAATGGAAGCCAAATATTTGTTTTGACCAAAAAGTAGAGCGTGAAAATGAATCCTAGAAACACTTGCATGAAAAAGGAATAAAAATTTGAATAATATATATATATATATATATTTATATATATGTATATTTTTTTTTCCAAATGATGAGCTATACATATAGGCAGGTGTTAAGTCTTTGTCAAACCCAGCAGCATGAGAATGAAATCTAGGGTTTGATGAAAAGCAGAATGCTTTCTGACAAGGAATGAACAAATATCAACCTTCAAAGAAAAGCATTTATCACTTGAAAGCATCCACAGCAATAAATTAGAAAAGAGAGAAATCATAGATTAGAAGCAGAAACAATTAACAAGAATGGAGGAGGCTTTATGGAGTAAACACAATCCTCCAATGCCTCTTGACTAATATTAATCTGATGGTAAGAATAAAAAGAAAAATAATTAAGTTAAAAAAAAAACTTTACAATTATAACACCAGCCCAAGGTGGTGTTTCTTAAAAATAATTGGAATCGACAAAAAAAAAAATTACCAATTGCCAATAATCCAAACAGCCCTTCAAACAAGAAAATCATTAACATAAAAATACCAGGGTCACATACTGACACCGAAACAAAATGAATGAATTTCACATTATTGTGCAATTGCACTTCGATTCCAGTTTTTGAGGTTTTGTACTGTCCGGCTTATTAGGAAGTCCGACGTTTCGTACTGCCGATGCATCAATATTTTCATCATTCTCAGTCTTGCTAGGAGGTGGCTCTGCATCTGTTTCTACACGCCTGGGCCTGGACTTGAGTGATTTTGACGAGCGTTTAGCTGCAGTTCTACCAGGTTGGTCCGTTCTGTCGGTATTAGATTTACCTAATATAGTGACAGTTGGCCACGAACCTTCCAGTGGCACTTCAGTTTCTTTCTCGATTGCTATGCTTGCCGCCTTATAGGCTAGATCATGAACGATAGAGCTGCAGAAAAGTATTGTATCTGTTGCTTCTTCAAGGGTCAGGCTCCTTCCTTTGCTTCCTCCACGACATTCTACTAATACTCTCGATTCATCTGCAAATATGTACCAATTTGTCAAATAACAGAGCTTAAACCCAACTACTATGTTTTGAGAACCAAGTTTTAGCATGTAATTTGATGCAAACATAAAATAAATAATTGTCTATTGTAAGGATCCAGTGAGACCACAAATTGTTTTTTTTATTTCAGCAACCAGGAAAATGCAACAACTAAATAGACAAATAACAAATAGATATCCATCTCATAATGCACTATGTGACTTCACCTAAGACTCAAAGACAGATGCATTCACAATTGCCAAAAGAAAACAAAGACGAGTAGCATCCAAAATGATGCACATTCACGATCTCGACGTGCTGCCCACTAGCACCAGTCCACCTTTGAAAACACTTCTCCAATATCCATAAACCACCACTAAATGCAGAATTGAATAAAGGACATTTTGATATTTGCAAAATAAGGCAAAGCAATTGTCCAGCTGGCATTTTAATGCTGGTCTATCTGAAAGAAGCAAGTAAATCCATGACATCAAATAAAGTTATATTGAGGATTTAAAATTGCCATTTGATTACTTTGGAACTAGAGATTGAAACATTTGAAATATTGCGAATACGGTGAAATCAACTTAGCATGTTGACTTCCTATCGCCTAGGTTACACTAACAGGTCCACGAAAATAGATAACCAAATTCATGATAAACAAGCAAAGTTTACCTAAAATATCATGAGGATTATCTGCAGCATTGAGATCCTGAACAGAAGTAGCCATGTCCTTGCCGTCGGTGGTTGGAACTGAAGGCTCCTCAACTTCATTAATATTGTTATTCAACTCCAGAGATTCATCACCCCTCAATGAACCAGGATTCTCCAGATAGCAGTTCTCTGTTTCTATTTCTGATATCATAGCCAAAGAGCTGATACCAGAGACCTCCCTGACTTCAACTCCGTCAAGACTAGAGTTGGGCATGGCATGTTCTTCACGAGAAGACTCTGCAGTGATAGTTGTTGCCCCCAAAGCAGAGCTTGCAGGGTTTGGGAAGTCTTCTAAATTTTCATAAGAAACATAACTTTCATAGTTCAGGAATGATGCAGCTGAATTGTCCTCTGATCGATTGCTAACCATATGGCTTGACAATTCAGAGGTGGAAGGATCAATTGACTTTGTACTCTCATCACAGTCAGAAATGTCTGCCTCAAGAGCCACAGCAGCTGTCTTATTTTCCAAAGCCGGCACTTTCACTTCTGAACCTAGATGCATTTCCTCCACTTCATTGCATTTGATATTACCAGCAGAAACCTCTACATTCTGGTCAGCTGTGCCTGTTACAAGACCCAAAGCTTGAAGGGCATTAGGTGAAACTCCAGAGCCTGATGATAAAATACTTTGAGGTTTTAAGTTCATTTCATATCTACAATTCTCTATTTCAAATTTCTTTCCACTTAACTGCCGTTGTACACGGCTCTCTGTCTGTCTAGCTGAGAAATCAATCGATGAAGATGCAGAAACACTGCCATACCCAGTGGAGCTCCGCAAACTGCTCGAACTGTCTCTTGCATAAGAGGCATCATCATAAGGTCTAGTGGTGGCAGTGAATGTCCTGCCCTGAACAACATGTCCCTTGCTACTGCTCGACCTCTTTAGCAACACGGATATGCCCGCACCTTCTGAAGAATCAAATTTTAAATCCACATGCTCATTAGACAGCTGTAGTCGCTGACCTTCAATGTCCCTGACAGGTAAGCTATGACAAACAGTAGGTTGCTCAGTCCCTTCCTGATAGTTGAGCCTCTCTTCAATATCTTCTGCCAAAGACCTAGCAATATAATTTTCTTGCAAGTAATTCTGATTTTTCTCTGAAAAGGAAGTATGCCCTTGCTTAACATTCTCTTCAGGCTGAGAAGCCACTGGCTCAACCAATTCAGTACCTTGCGGCAGTGACTCAGTCTCAGGCATTGCAGGCTCCATTTCATCAAATAATTTATTTTCTTCATAAGTTTTCACAGACAGCATTGAGGAGTCCTCAACTGCTATTATTGTGTCAGAAACAGTGTCAGCCATAAGATCATGTTCCCTCTTGCAAGCTGGACAAAGATAACTATCTACTTCTGGTGGTTCAGTTATGCAAAATCTGCCTTGACATTTAGAACAAATTTCCATGTTTGCATCATTAATACCTTCTCTAGAATCACCTCTGGAACATAAAACAGTAGATGTTGAACAAATTTCTGCATTAGCACCTTGAGCAGAGAACTCCTGAGAGTTACCAGCATCTTGATGAAAGTCATCAAGCTGAATATTAGGTGACCTATCATCTCTATCATGCCCAGCTTCTTCACTTAATGCATCTACCTTGTCAAAGGCAAATACTTCTTGAGCATCAGAATATCGTATTATCTCAAATTCACTTGTCAAGTCATCCTGGTGGTGATCACTCCCTTCGGTATCTAGTACAGCACTTGTACCTTGATCAGAACTTGCATTACTGCTGGTTGTGACAGAAGAATTCCTTGAGATCAAAGAACGATTTGCAGAACTACCCTTTCCAACATAAAAGGTGGTACTGGGAACACTAGACAAGAGAGGCCTGAACATATTCGGAGGACTTTTCCTTTGATCCTAATAAAAAAAATAATCCTCCTATCATTGCTCTAAAAGATGTAGATAAATAACACCAGAGCAGAAGCACCCCTAAAAAAATCATATATACATGAAAAAATATGATATGATCCAAGGACTCTTTGATCACACTGAAAATACATTTCCCATTTGTTACTGACGATGAATAATGCACATAATCATTCCTTAAACCATAGTGATCTAGTACACATTCTCAAGCTACCAATCATATTAGACAAATCTAGATTTCTTCTTCTCAAAAGGATTCATGAATTGAGAATTCTTGTCTCTATTTATCAGATACTTGAAATTAATTAATGCCCAGATCATTTATAGTAGTCAAATTCATTGTATGTAGCCACATCAGCTTTTGGTGCTCCAATCAACCAATGGTATTGAAAGCATATCAACAATCAACATAAGGCTTAGATAGGCAGTTGAATGAGCCACATAGAACAAGTGCATCAATCAAATGACTAAATGTAATTAAGTTACAAAGCACACGTTTCAAAACTGGATGCACGTTAAAGCATTGGAGACTTGGAATACTCACATTGCATATAGAAAACACACGAACACCTTGAATTCGAATTCTATTAGACTGGAACACAAAAGAAAAAGATAAAGATGAGATACTGAGCAGTAAGTTACCGTTTGGCGAAGAATAGAGTCAAAGGATCTTTTTGGAGCAGAACTTGGAGTCAGCAATCTAGAAGATTTCTTAGAAAATGCTGGAGCTCTATTATTAGGAAAAGCACCAACTCTTTTTGAGACTGAGCAATTTGAGCCACGTACTCGAACAGAATTTATCGAGTCTATTTCATCATCACCAGATGATGCCATAGAACCTTTACTTTGAGAGCTAAATCGATCTCGATCATGACTCTGAGATGAACTGACACTTCGAGAAGCAGTGGGAGACATAGAATGCCTACCATATTTTGTAGCTGAATCTTTACCATTTCTGGATGCTGGTGAGGAACCCCTCACATATGATGCTGGTCGATCTGTCAGAGAAGTTCGAAGATTGGGTGGTGCATCTAAAGAGAAACCAGGAATGTTTGACCGCCATGCACTGATTTTTGGTGAAGCAGAATTCCCACGACTTGTACGGATAGGAGAACTTCCCCTTACCCCAGTGGAAGCTGCCGTGCTTGAGCCTGTACTCGCCCTCCGGGGAGTTGGAGTCAGATATCCAGGAGCAGGCGTAGAAGGTTTATTTGGAGGAGGAGATGGCCTTCGCGTTGGTGTAGCAGCACGTACACTAGGGGTTGGACTAGACTGAGGGGCAGAAGAGGGCCTTCCCCTTGATTGAAATGTACCGCTAGTAGACCTGGGTGATGGGCTCAAGCGATTTGGACTGGCGCTGCCCCTGCTACTTCTGTAACTCTTCTCCATCTTCACATAAAAGTAGAAGTAAATGTAACATACGACGAACAAAGAAATATAAACATTTCTATACGTATCTAATAGAAGGCACTTGCAGTTTCAGTTACATGTCCATAAAGATATCAGATAACCTACAGGGGCAGCACGTGGGAAGATCTGTCAGCACTGCGGCAGAGATCATGGGGACAGACCCTGCTACCGGCTTAACAACACTTCTCGCATTTGTGGCAGTGCCCAGTATTATGCAAGAGAATGCCCGAGGAACCAGAATCAAAGGAGGCCTCCTATCTAGGGCAGAGCTTACAACCTTACCCAGCAGGATGCCGACGCCGACCCGAATGTAGTATAGGGTATGTATGCTATCTGTGACCATATTGCTCATGTTTTATTTGACACTGGTGCATCGCACTCTTTTGTTTCACATGCTTTTCCTTCCAAAATTAATGTATCACCTGATAAACTTGATTCATTATTGTTTGTGTCTACTGCCGGGGGTAAAAAACACTACTAGGAGAAGTTATCTATAGGGCTTGTGCCGTGGAGATAGCAAATAAGAAACTGAGTGTAAACCTGATAGGGTTAGACGCAGGGGATTTTGATGTAATCTAAGGAATGAATTGGCTAGTGGCGTATCACGACACCATAGATTGCTTTAACAAGAAAGTTGTATTTAATCCTCCTAACGATGAGCCATTTACAAATTAATAAAATTATTCAGTACTTATTCCTTAATGGTAAGTTTTCTTAACTTCTAGTGCCTTAATCTTGCTGTTTTCTCTGACTAGGCAAGCCCAAGAAGGAAATTTGTATTTAAGAGATTCCGGTAGTCCGAGACTTCCTATATGTGTTTCCAGACAAACTGCTTAGTCTGCCAGTTGACAGAGAAGTCGAGTTCACTATAGACCTACAGCCAAGTACTCAGCCCATTTCGGTTGCTCCTTACCGCACGAGCCGCATTGAGATGGAAGAGCTGAGAAACAAATCACTGAATTGCAAGACAGTGGTTTTATTAGACACAGTGTGTCCCCTTTGGATGCCGGAGTCACTTTTTTAAGGAAGGGAGATGGAACGTTGAGCCTGTGTATTGATTACAAAGGATTGAATATGGTTACGATCAAGAACAAATATCTCCTTCTCAGAATTGATGACCTCTTCGATCAGCTGCAGGGTACACAGGTCTTCTCTAAAATAGACATGCGATCAGGTTACCATCAGGTGAAGATAAGAACAGAAGAAATCCCCAAGACGGCCTTTCGAAGTAGATACGGACACTATGAGTTCTTGGTCATGTCATTTGGGCTAACCAACGCCTTGGCAGTCTTTATGGATCTGATGAACAGAGTCTTCAGAGAGTTCTTGGATCAATTTGTTATCGTGTTCATCGATGACATCTTAGTCTACTCAAAAAACAGAGAAGAATATGCTCACTATCTTGCCCAAGTTTTGCAGGTCCTCAGAAATAAGAAGTTATATGCAAAGTTGAGTAAGTGTGGATTCTGGCTTGAGCAGACCGCCTTCCTAGGACACATCATATCGAAGGAAGGGGTATCAGTCAATCTCGAAAAGGTTGAAGCGGTACTTGGCTGGGAGAAGCTGACATCAGTTAAGGAAATCCGTAGCTTCCTGGGAATGGCAGGTTATTACCGCAGGTTCGTTGAAGGATTTTCCAGTCTAGCAGCTCATCTAACCCGACTCACAAAGTAGAATGCCAAGTTTGAGTGGAATGAGGACTGCGAAAGAAGTTTTTCAGAATTAAAGAAGCGGCTGACCACTGCACCCGTGCTGGCTTTACCGAGTGGATCGGAGGGATATACAGTTTATAGTGATGCCTCCTATTTGGGCCTGGGTTGTGTCCTAATGCAGCATGGAAAGGTTATAGCATACAGGTCCAGACAGTTAAAGAATCATGAGAAGAACTATCCCACCCATGACTTAGAGCTTGCCGCAATCATTCACGCCTTGAAAACCTGGCGCCATTATTTGTACGGAAAGACCTTTCAGATCTATACCGATCATAAGAGTTTGAAACACATATTCACTCAGAAGGATCTCAACATGCGTCAGAGAAGGTGGATGAAACTTCTTAAGGACTATGATTGTGATATCTTATACCACCCGAGTAAGGGCAATGTGGTAGCAGATGCTCTCAGTAGGAAAAGTGCAGGTATCTTAGCTCATTTGATGGTTTCAGAATGCAGACCAATTGGGGCCACGCAACAGGTTCGACTTCATGATCTGCAGAGAGTCACATGTTTGGGCAGCGTGATAGTCCAGCCCGAGTTAATCCAGAGAATAAGGGAAGCCCAGACAGTTGACCCCGCCCTGGTAGCCCGTAAGAAGGATGCAGAACAGGGAGGGATCTCAGAATTTCGAATCTCTGCCAATGGATCACTTCGTTTCCAAGACAGGATGTGTGTCCCAGATCACAGTGAGTTAAAAAGAGATATTATGACGGAGTTCCATAGCTCGAAGTTTGCCATGCATCCAGGAAGCACCAAAATATACCAAAGCATGCGACCCCAGTTTTGGTGGCATGGGATGAAGAGAGACATAGCCGACTTTGTATCTAAATGGTTGGTATGTCAGCAGGTCAAGGCAGAGCATCAGCGCCCAGGTGGGTTACTTCAGCCTTTACCGATCCCGGAGTAGAAGTGGGAACATATCACCATGGACTTCGTATCGGGGCTACCCAAAGCACGTTCAGGACATGATGCCATATGGGTAATCGTTGACCGACTTACCAAGTCTTCCCACTTCCTAGCCATCAGGATGACCGATTCATTGGACAAGTTGGCAAGGATGTATATCCGGGAGATAGTCAGATTACATGGGGTTCCAGTAACAGTAGTATCCAACAGGGATCCCAGATTCACTTCTCGATTTTGGAATAGCTTCCAGCAAGCTATGGGAACAAATATGTCTCTTAGTACTGTCTTCCATCCCCAGACTGATGGAAAATCAGAGAGGACAATTCGTACGCTTGAGGATATGCTCCGAGCTTGTGTCCTGGACTCTGGGGGCCATTGGGACGACCATCTACCCCTGATAGAGTTTGCCTACAACAACAGCTACGAAGCTAGCATCGGCATGGCTCCATATGAGGCGTTATATGGGCGCCCGTGCATATCACCTATTTATTGGGAGGAAGTGGGCGATAGAGGATTGTTCGGCCCGGAGTTGATAGAGGAGACCATGTCCAAAATAGTTAAAATCAGGAAGAACATTCAGACAGCTTAGAGTAGGAAGAAGAGTTATGCAGATACCCGGAGGAGAGACTTAGGGTTTGAGAAAGGCGACCGGGTGTTTCTTAAGGTCACTCATTTCAAGGGAATTAGTAGGTTCGGTAGGAGGGGAAAATTAAAGTCCCGATGTATTGGACCCTTTGAAATCTTAGACAGGATTGGTAATGTTGCCTACAGACTAACACTGCCTCCAAAGCTCTCCAGAGTCCACAACGTGTTTCACGTATCCATGCTACGTAAGTATAACCCGGACCCTTCTCATGTCTTGGCTCATGAACCGCTTCCACTCCAAGAGGACTTGTCTTATGAAGAAGTACCAGTCGGTATCACGGACCGAAAGAGCAGAATACTCCACAACCGGAAAATATCTTTTGTAAAGATCGTGTGGCAGAACCACACGCCCAGGGAGGCTACCTGGGAGCTAGAATCAGAATTTAGAGCCCAGTATCCCCATTTGTTCGTCCAAGAGTAAGAGGCAAATTTGGAGGACCAAATTTCTTTAAGGGGGGGAGAGTTGTAACACCCAAGTGTTTTTTTCTTATTTTATCTTATTATTTTTATTTTTATTTATTTAAATTTTTTAGATTTTTATTTAATTTAATTTAATGAAAATAAAAATAATAATAATGATAAAATTTGGTAAAAATATTATTTGTATTTAATTGAAATTGATTTTGGGAAAAATGGATGAAAATTTGGATTCTGGGAGTGTTTTTGAGAAGAAAATAAAAAATCGGGGGTCAAAACGTAATTTAAAAAAGTTGTACCACGTCAGCAACCACGTTAGCAGCCACGTCAGTGGCCCGGTCAGCAGCCCCGGCCAACCAGGCCACGCCGCGTGGCAAGGAAACGCTGACACGGGATGGGCCACGTGGGCGATCCGCGTGCGCACGATTGGACGGCGCAGATCCGTTCCCGTGCACACTGACGGCTCAGATCAAACGTATGCACAGACGGCCCAAATTTAATCACGCACGGACGGCCCAGATTGCATCGCGATGGACGGTCCAAATTTAATCCCAATTAAATCGGATCGGACGGTCCAGATTTAATCTTGATGGACGGTTGAGATTAAAAGGCAAATGATATAAATAACCCCACCCACACCTGACCACAAAACCCTAGCCGCCAGTGCCTCGCCGGAGAAGAAGAACCAGACGCTGGAGGAGCCAGCCGCCACTACCCACCGCCAAACCGGAGAAGTTTTTGACCGCCGATCGAGGTAAATTTTCTCCTTATGGCTCGTTTTTCGATGTTGAGTCCGCCTATAGCCAAACCACTAGCCAAACGGTCAGAAAACCCAGCCGAAGTCCAGCGTCGCTGCCGCGACCCCCTTCTGTTTTTGCCTCCGATGAGGCCCCTCCCGGCCTCCGTTTGATGCAAACTTTATACCACTGTGATCACTGTTCTTTTCTCTACAGGTTGATCGGAGCCAAACATCAAAACGCGACTCACACCAGAGCCGCACTCGAGAGCACCGCCGCTGGTAAGTTTCAGTTTTTCGTGAGTTTTTGGCCCACCGAGGGTCCTAGAGTTGTTTTATTGCAGGGAACAATGCAAGTTTGGCCGAATTCGACCGAAAACGGCCAACCCGAGGTGGATCACCATCGCAGACGGCGACGCCGTGGCCGGAGCACGGCGGAGCCGTTGTGCCGGAATTCTGATATTCGCCGAAAGGGGCCCTAGGTCTGATTTGGGATTTTTGGGACATGTGCAGGTACCGGTAGTGCGTTTTAATTTTTCGAAAAAAATTCAGAGAAATTAGGA